GTCCAAGCCATGAGCAGCCAGTTTCTCCAGGAGAATGCCATGGGAAACGGTGTCAAAGGCTTTACTAAAGTCCAAGTAGACCACATCCACAGCCTTTCCCTCATCCACTAGGCGGGTCACCTGGTCACAGAAGGAGATCAGGTTGGTCAAGCAGGACCCGCCTTTCATAAATCCGTGCTGACTGGGCCTGATCGCCTGGTTGTCCTGTATATGCTGTGTCATGGCACTCAAGATGATCTGCTCCATAACCTTCCCTGGCACCAAGGTCAGACTGACAGGCCTGTAGTTCCCCGGATCCTCCTTCTGGTCCATCTTGTAGGTGGGCGTCACATTTGTTAACCTCCAGTCAACTGGGACCTCCCTGGTTAGCCAGGACTGCTGATAAATGATTGAAAGTGGCTTGGTGAGCACTTCCGCCAGCCCCCTCAGTACCCTTGGGTGGATCCCATCTGGCCCCATAGACTTGTGCGTGTCACAAGGAAAAAAAACATCATCTCTAACTAGTCACGAAGATGCAAAAATAGAATTCCCAATGTGATTTTTTTTTTCCCTAAGAATTTATAAGCATATAGAATTAGACATAATCTGGAAAACTCTTTCGCAATCTTAACTCTCCTGTTTACTGCCAAGTGAACATAAATCATCTGTATGATGTTAAATGAACATAAGTCATCTGTATTATTTCACATGTAGTGGCTCATTTGCTCAGGAAAAATGAATATTCTATTATTTGATGACATTTTCTGTTTCTCATTATCGGCTGCATTTCACCGTACAGCACCATCTGGCTCTATGAAATCTCTTTCAGTCAATAAGCTGAGGCAGATATTGTACTATACTGTGAGTATTAGTGTTGGTTATTTCCCAACAAGTCTGTAATTCTGAAATCTAAGAAATAAAACCATTTAGGTGGTGGGCATATACCTGAATATATATACCACTTCTCTGAAGTGGAGAGGCTGCACAGCTGTATCCCAGTCCCATTTAATGTGAAATCCTAGTGGCTACACTGCACTGTGCAGAGGCACTGGTAAAAGGTATAGTCACTGAAATCCTGATAAATCCTTAGCTACTTGGTATCAGCCTTTCCTCTGGCCTTTAATGAGCTTTTCCTGGGCTCTTCCAACATTTACAACACATACGTACATTTAGGTACATACATACTTAGAATTCTGTATGAACTGATCACTTATCATCTTGCATCTGATAATTTCAAGGTACCTCATAAATATTCATGAAAACTTTGCCAATTACAAGGTGTTTTCATCAGAGCTATGCAAAAGAATAATTTTTAATGTTTTAACAAATCTGTCTCCTGGACAAAATCTGCTGTAAAATTATCATTAGGACTCACTTTTATAATTATTTTAAAGATAATCCAATTTTCATAAAAATGCTAAAATTTACAAATTTTCTATCTAAAGAGTAAAATACAGGTAAAACCAATTAAAAACAATTGAAGTGAGCACAGAAATAAAAATAAAATAAAATTTTAAAAAATTAGATTGTTTCCCACAACAGAAAGAGGAATGATCCAGTATTAAAGCAATGGAATTCCATTGCAAACAATGGAATTGGAGCCCTTGGCCAATCACACACATGGATTATATAATGATTTAATACACAGATTCAGAGATTCAGATTACGGTTTTTGCACCAGTACAATCTTCCTGTCTGACCTGGAACAACTCACGTGAGCTCTCTGCAACAGATGATCACGTATAAAATGATGATAGTAATCCTTTTCTTTTCTGTAGGAGTACTGTGAGAAATGAAGTGGAAATGACCTGCTACTATAGTCAAGTTATTATAGTATTGTACCTTTTGTAACAGATATTTAATATCTTTTACAATAGAGCCAACAGAGAACTCAGGTTAAGTTTGCTGATGAAATACTGAAATATTTACTAATAAAATGTACAAAGACATATTGCATTTGTTGTAACTTTGTGATAAACAAGGAAGGTTAGAGATTTTCTTTAAATGTTTAATGTTTAAACATGTCTAATGTTTAAACATTAGAAGGATAGGTAATATACAACCTTTGTGTAAGGTCACTATGGAAAAGTATCACTTCATAAGTGACTTTAACCTGTACAACCCCAGGTAAGAGTATTTGAGAATTTTCAAAGATCTTCAGATATTTTTCTGTTGTTTTCATTGGCTTTTGTCCACTAAATCCCAGTTGAACCTCACTCTTACCTTCCTCTTCTCTGTCACACTACATCAAAGTTCTCCTCGTTCTTTTTAAAACTGCATGATTGAAAATATCTTTATTTATTATCTTTATATCTTTTTATTTATTTATTCAGCATCAAGCTTGGGACCGCAGAGGAGAATCAGCACAGATTAAGGCATTACAGCCAAGCCTCCAGATGATGATTCAAACTACAGTCCTGAATTAGAAACTGCTGAAGTTCAGTTGGGAATCTGAATTCTAATTTCACAATTTTATTTGATGATTGGTAGAGGAAAAAAAAGAGACACCAGTAATGTCTCATCTATAGTAGTGACTGGATGTCTCCACAGCTTAATTCCAGATCCTGCAAAGCACTGAGTGCTCTTAATTCATGGTAGAACCAATAGGTTTCATGAATTGCTTGGCCTCTTGCAAGAATAGTCCCTTTTTTAAGCTACTAAATGTTACACAATCATCTTTTACTTTATTGGTAAACCTTAAGTACATATTTGCTTAAAATTTAAGTCTACTATATAGCAGCTTAAAAATATATTTAGCATTTAAATAGTTTTATTTTTCCTTTATCCTTTTTAAAAGCAGTTTTTAGATATTATATCTATTATAGGTTGACTAAACAACTTCACGGAAATCATCTTTCTGAAACAGTAAAACACCATCATAACACAACTCAGTAACAGGCTTGTACAAATAGAGTAATAAATCTATAGATACTTCATCACTTCCATTTGTTATGGAGTTTCTAGAGAATAGGGAAAAAAGATAAATTGTGATGTGGAGTTCACTGTATGCATGTGCAGTAGTAAATGGAATTTTTGATGCCTTGATAGTAATTCCATTTCATTTTTTACTAAACTGAGAAAGAGGATGTTGCTTACCTTTGTCTCAATTTGTTTGGTGTCTAGATTCTGAAAAAGCAGTTTTACTCTTGTTTTCCCATCATCTGAAGAGCCTTTGAGCTGAGAGAATTTAAACCTCCACAGCACATTCTAAAGAGAAAGAAATTTGATTAAGGGCTCTGTTACACTTTCTTACCTAGAACTATAGATTGATGATCAATGTTTATGTATTAAGATAAAGCATTAGGGCAGTAAACATAGCACATGATAACAGGCTGGTTGCAGAGCAAATAAAATTAACAGCTCTATATCATATGTGAAAGCAAAATATGCAATATTAATATTCACTAATTAAACAATTATTTAGAATTCTCTGAAATGTAAATGTTTCAGTTGCCTACTTAATATCAAAATCCATGGCAAAAGCCTAATTCTAGAAAGATCCATGAAGATATTTGTATCAGTTTCACTATGAACACAATTCCATATCATAGCTCGATCTTTCATATTTCAGCTGGCTCATCTGCATAACATAATGTCTTACACAGATGTTGCAAAGCTGAATTTACTGATGTGTGCAACGTGGTTTGAAATCCTCAGATAAAATAAGTTATAGAAATGCAAAAATGTTATTATTGAATGTAGTCTTGCAAACCACAAAAATATGTTCTACATTACACAGTTGTTTGTAAAATATATACGAATCTAGACTTCTTGGTCTCCTACAGGTTTATGCATGGCATCTTACTACTGTTGGCAGATCCTACATTGACAGGTATGTTTCAATAGTTATGGAGATACTTTTTAAAAACAAACATTGGGAAATTGTTTTTGAAACCAATGTCATTTTCTGTATTTATTTGAATGTTTTCTATTGATGACCTGAAAATGTGTAAGTTTAAAAAAACCACAAGGTAACAACTTGCATCCAGACTTCCTGAGGATGTTTCCTTAATGCCTATAATCTTAATGAAAATTCTATGCACATGTTGAAATGTGATTCAGTCCCTCAACACTGCTGAGGAAACACAATTTAAATACTTTGAAGGCTATTTCAAAAGCACACAGAGAAAAAAGTTTGCTATGTTCCATTTTCAATACACCTCATTGCAAATTTTTTTTTTTCATGTAGACCAGTGCTACCAGCGGTCTTCAGAACCCTACTCATAGTTTGAAAGGGAATGACCTATAAATAAAAAAGTGTTTACAGAGGGCACAAAAATCCTGATTTCATCTCCTGGTTCCCTGCAGACATAAACGCCATTGACTTAGACAAATATAACAGATTAAGAAAAACCCAACTGTGCTACAGCATTGTGATGGTGCTTAAACTTTACATTCATGAACAGATTTTAACTGGGTCCAGAGGGCCTAATTAGACCACCTGAAAAGTATTCAAAGCTTAAATGAGTTTGGATCTAAATAGGATAGATGAATGTTCGCTATATAATATAACTGCTAGGGAGGAGATGAAACAAGAACTTAGGAACAATTTAGCAATAATAGGCATTGCTGGAGTCATCATCTCTCTCAACAGTTGACACTGAGTGGAAAAGAAGAGAAGTAGATGGCTCTGGAAGGTGGAAGAAAATGCACAATTTGGGATCCCTTTACCTTGGAAGAGCGGCTGGAGGCACAGGATGGGGAAGACGAACCAACCAAGTCAACAAGATAAAAAGAATCTCTGCGATCAGATATAAAGCACCTGCAGGCCACAAGAGTACCTCTGTGATGGGCCCAAAATAGTAAAAGCTGAATAAGTTAAGCCCATGATGACCCTGGAACAGAATATGTAGGAAATGAAGTAATTCTTTCAAATAAGTTTAAGAATCCCCAAAAACTGTTCTAGAAAAGAGTTTTCTAAAAGACACTTAAACTCCTTATGTTGGGTTTGCGTGGCAAGGTTTTGGTAGCTCTGTGATAACATATTTAAGAAGGGGGAAAAACTGCTGCACAACAGCAGTCAGAAGAGAGGATTGAGAATATGTGAGAGAAACAACTCTGCGACACCAACGTCAGTGAAGAAGGAGGGGGAGGAGGTGCTCCAGGCGCCGGAGCAGATATCCACCTGCAGCCCGTGGAGGACCCCACGCTGGACCAGGTGGATGTACCCGAAGGAGGCTGTGAACCTGTGGAGAGGC